TATTATTAATATTAATTTATCAATAACATAGTCGGTAACTATAATTTCAAAAAATATTTTTTAAAAGTATGTTTTAAAATATACTTTAGAAAAGTACTTTTTAAAATAATATATATATATATATATATATATATATATATATATATAGTATGTCCTAAATCTATACTCACGTAAATAACTACAATGTTCATCTTGAAACTTAATAGAGATATTGATACCCATAAACAAAACAATTACTATTAAGTTAAATAAGTAAAAATGTTATTAATTTGATGTACATCACTTGTATTAAAACACTGCCATTTAACTCATTATTAAAGTTAACTACTTGAATCGGCTAGTAATATAGAATTATACATGAAGTCTTAAATTTAAATCTCAACAAAATCATCGTAAAAAAATGATTATTAAAGTTTAAGATATCTATTGCAAAATGATTATTGTGAATGAAACTACTCAGACTACGGGACAAAAAACGAAAAAGTGACCAACGAGGACTAAAAGAATTAGTAAAAATGCAATAAGATATTACAATATACTCATACTGTTAACTGCTAATGGTACCCACCTACTTGCCCCACTTATTTTACACTTTGGGTAGTTTGATTAAGGGGGTTAGGATTAAAGTATTAAATGCTAGAATTTTGTAAGCAAAAAATGCTATATAAAAAAAATGGTGAAATATTAAATGGTAGAAAGGGCCAGAGCAAAGGTCCCTCCGACCAGCCTTGTCACATTTTCCACTGCCCATGTCCCTTAGAACATGGAGGAAATTATGGCATTTTCCCTTCTTAAACTTTCTCTCTCTCTCTCTCTCTCGTCTCATACAGCATAAAAGCCCTCATTCAACAACAAGCAATTCCTACTCCTAGTTCTTGAAGCAACAAAACCATCAACCACAACAAGTAAATAAACAAGACCACCTCAATCATTGTGGTCGAATCCAACCAAAGAAAAACCTTCTTGGTCACCACTCACCACCCTTTTTGCATGTTTTAAGGAGAAAGGAAAGATTATCATCCTTAAATAGCTGATCATAAATAGATGGAGATTGAGTCAGTGAAGTGCGAGTGTTGTGGGTTGAAGGAGGATTGCACGCAAGACTACATCAGCGAGGTGAAGTCAAAGTTTGAAGGGAAATGGTTATGTGGGTTGTGCTCAGAAGCAGTGAGAGATGAAGTGAGTCATGGAGGGAAAAAGGCATCATCAGCTATGGATGAAGCTGTGAAGGCTCACATGTCATTCTGCCGCAAGTTCAAATCCAACCCTGCAGTGAGAGTGGCAGAAGGCATGAGACAGATGCTGAGAAGAAGGTCTGGTGACTTGTCATCATCATCAGCATCTTCTTCATCAAAGAAGTACACAAGGTTAACCAGCACTTCTCAAGTTGGGGATTCTTCAAGTTTCCCTTTGTACTGATGCAGGGTTGAAACAGAGGACACTCTGCTTTGCTTCGAATAAAAGTTTTTAGGTTTTGCCTTTAGGCCTAAGTTTTTTCTTCTTGTCGTCACGTACAGGAAGTATTGTTTCAGATTTTAAGCCTCTTTTTTTTCTTTTCTCCAACTGATATCTAGTTTCGTACCCCTAATCCTCTTTCTTTGTCATCTCTTTGTTTACTTTCTTGGAAAAATAGAGACATGGTTTTCAAGAAGATGATCTCAATCAACTTTATCTCCTCCAAAATTTTGACACATTTATGCTTAAAATGGACAAAACAAAAAACCTTCTGAATTCTTCCGAGAAGAATGAGTAGTTCCTTTCCTTTCATATATTGAAATGGTGTTTTAGGTACCAACAAACTTCTTTGTTTAACACTTAGAATTAATCATTTATACACTAGTATAAAATTTTTTACATTCACAACCAATTATATCTTTTAATTGTATCGTGTTATTATAAACATATTTACTTTTAACAGTAACATGATACAATTAAAAAACATAATTGGTTACCGGTATAAAAAAACGTATATGTAATTAATTCTAATAATTATCCCTATTTTTAGGATCAAGTGTTTATGATAAAGTGGAAGGTTGAAATTTTGTTAAAAGTATTTTGATTTACAAATCATAAGACTTATAACACAAATATAAATTTGATTTACAAAAAATTATAAAATATGATAAATAAGATAAATAAGAATACGGTAAAAATTCTTTTTTTTTACTAAATAAATTATTTAACATTTTTTTGTCTCAAGTATAAAAAAAACATTATTATTATTGTTAGTCTAACAATATTCAATTTTTATCGTAGTTATTCTCAACCATCACAGTCACTTTTTATTACTATTATTATTATTTTTATTTTTATTATTATCATTTTGTCGTATTTATTACTATTATTATTATATTATTTTTTATTAAGATAATAATAATTTATTATATTTATTTTTATCAAAATAATAAATTTATTATGATAACTAATATTAAAATAAATATTTATAAATTAATATGATTTTATTTGTGTTGTTGATTGTTCACTATATAATATACAAAGTAAAAAAATTATTTAGTAATTTAAGTGTTTATCTTGTGTTGTGCTTCTTTTTATCGTAACTTAATATGTATCACATTCTGAGCCTCTAACTTTTGAAATTAGTTTTTACATTCCGGTACGTTGTTTTGTGTGAACTCTGCTCATCTTTTGACTAAATTAAAATTTAGCTGGATGGAGCTTTTAAGGATTAAATTTGATAAATTTCTTAAGATAGTTGAAATTCAGGACATTTCGAGAAATCAAAAGTTACAATATTTGTATAAGTAATGACTTTAAATTTTAAACTAATCTCCATATTTTCACATTTTTATTAGAAAGGGTATTTTAATATATACATATACATATATATATATATATATATAT